TCTCCCAAGCTTGTCTCCCTTCATGATTTCGCTTTTGGCTGCCGCTGACGCCTTGTTGTCTCCCTTCATGATTTCGCTCTTGGCTGCCGCTGCCGCCTTGTCTCCCAAGCTTGTCTCCCTTCATGATTTCGCTCTTGGCTGCCTCTTCATGATTTCGCTTTTGGCTGCCGCTGCCGCCTTGTCTGTTCAGCTTGTCTCACTTCAAGATTTCGCTTTTGGCTGCCGCTGCCGCCTTGTCTCTCAAGCTTGTCTCCCTTCATGATTTCGCTCTTGGCTGTCGCTGCCGTCTCGTTTCTCAAGCTTGTCTCCCTTCATAACTTCGCTCTTGGCTGCCGCTGCCGCCTGGTCTCCCAAGCTTGTCTCCCTTCATGATTTCGCTCTTGGCTGCCGCTGCCGCCGTGGTTCCCAAGCTTGTCTCTGTTCCTGATTTCGCTCTTGGCTGCCGCTGCCGCCTTGTCATTTTTCTTGCCTGCCTTTGACGCGGATGATTTAGGTCTTGTTTACCTTTTCCATCCTTTTCCCGCCTTTGAGTGGGATGTCTCCCAAGCTTGTCTCCTGCTCTTGCCATGCTCTCAAACTGTTCTTTAAGTGCTATCTGGGGTCTGTGCCGGTATAATTTGAGACAACTGTGGTAACGGTGATGCCACGTCAAGGTCAGGGCAACGCAAAATGGATGAAGGAGGAGGCCGCCAGTTGCTCGTTGTTTTGGGAGAACTTGTACTGGATGTTTCCTTGTAAAACAAGGATGCATGGGTGAGGTTGTGAACCTGGTTTCTCCACACAAGTAATCTACAGTTTATTTACTTACTTCAGAATTCTTTAGATCTATGCAGAACCAATCTACTGTATTCAATCCATGTGCCGCACGCTAGTGTTCTAGAGCCATGATCTGGAAACACAGAACAACACCACAGTGTTACACACCAGTGTTGCTATCAATACGGAACACATCCAGCAAAGCAGCTGAATTTTCCAGGTTTCGAGATCTTCAATTTGTAGGATATTTCAAGACTTGTTGCTGTGTATGATACGCCTGACATTGTGGGCTGTCGGGTTGCTTGAACTTCTCACAATCTTACAGC